AAAACAAGGAAGTGATCTGTTCCAGTCCAAGCTTCCAAGAAATAAAGAACTAGGTGGGGCACACTAAACAAGCCCCCAGACTCAACCACCCCAGTAAACATTCCGTTCATCACACTGTTTATGAGATAAAGTATAAGATTTTTAAGCCTTATGATAAATAACTATACTTAATGTCTTGGGGTGGTTGTGACAATTATAGTATTTTGCATAATATATGGTCACCATTATCATTATCACCAGTTCCTTAATGAGGAGAAACCAGAAGTTGACACCAAAATGTTGATCCATAATGTTTATAGGCCTTTCTCTTTATAGTTAACTTAATGTAAAATAAAGTGTATGTAATTTTTACTACAGTGTGTCCTGAAAGGGCAAACCAAGCTACAAGCAACACTAAAAGACTACTGCATGGGAGTGGATTATGAAGGTGTTTCTTAAATATGAGAGCTCAAGTTTTTCTTTCAGCGACTGAGTTAAAGCACCCAACTTGTTTATCATGAGACTTTTGCTAGGCAGTGTACTATGTCCACTCAACACACATCATTTTAGGCAATCATCTGGTTAAAATGTTTAATAGGACGGCATTCAGAAACACATTCTTTAGAGTTGACATTCAATTAATGGTTTGAATGTCGTTTCCAGGGCAGTCAGGAGTATTTAAAGGCTTTTCCATTGTTTTCGGAAGAGAAAGAAAACTTCCTAGCCTAACTTACCCAGTGCCTTGCTTCAGAGGGGCAGACAAAGGGTAAAATCTGGGCAGAGAACATTAGTTGATATGAGAACGAAAGAAAGTGCTGCAAGATCTTGTAGACAGCTGAGTTCACCTTCCACTCTACTGCCGAACAAAGTGAGGCAGGGAGAGGGCAGGGACTCGCTGAAAGCTAAACACCAAGTCAGTGACAGATCCAGGGCTGTAAAGTTCGACCGAGATTGAAACAATGTACACTGGGCGTCAGTCCCAACGCCAGCTTGCTCCAGCTCTTCCAGCTCTTCCTGAGCGCTGGGCCCATCTGGCCTCACGCTGATCTCCGGGCAGACTCTGTAGCGCAACTGGCACAGATCGTGACGACAGCCCTGCGGCAAGGCAGGAGTGGCCTTCTCCTCCGCCAGGGTTAAGGTGAGTACCACCGCCCTTGGGCCCAGCAGCCCGGGTGAGAGCCTCCGCCGCCCACTGCGACAGGCCTGAAAGCCAGCGCCTGGGCAAACCCACCCGCAGCACCCATCGGGACACCCCTTCCCTGACCCACGGGACGGAACCCACCTGTGCTGGAGGTCGTGACTCCTAACTTCGCAGAGTGGGCAGAATTCCAAGCAAGGAGAGCCTCGGGAGGCAGCCTTTCACCCGCCTTTTGCCTTTTCACCCCCAAAACCGTCGACCCGACGCTCCCCTCCCCCAGCCCGCTCGGGCCCAGCGGAGAGCCTCTAGGCCCCGCCCCACTCCTTCCGGCTGTGCGGGGTGGGTGCCTCTGGCGCCCGGGACTTCTCCCGGTGCTAGGGCGTCACTCTCCCATTCTGAAGGATTGGGCCAGGGCAGTCAATCGCCTTTATTAAACAGATTTGAAGCCATAAGTGCTTCTATTTATGGTGGTTTATCAAGGTTTACTAGAACTAAAATTCTACTACCTTTCCACCACTTTCTTGACTTTATGGTCGTCATATACCGCTCGTTACTCCCATGGATTCAGCTGAGCATCTTGAACCCAGGGTCCAGATACAGTGCTATGTACAGTGAGCACTAGAAGGGAATACCCATTAGGAACGAAAAATGCATATATACTAAAAACGGGAAATTGTGCAGGATTATATTGATTCGAGATTAAAAGTGTTAATCTAATGTCAAAAAAGCAATAAAGGAATTGGTTTGTAGAAGTCAGGATCAACAAAAGAGGAAAAAGCCTCCACACCTTTGCTCTGGAATTCCTTCTGCCATGAATGCTCTTACCCCGCACTTGTTTATTTGGAAAACGGCTACTCGTTATTTTTGACTCAATTTAGATAGTACCTCCTCTGTAAAGCCTTCCCTATCTTTCCCAAATAAGTTTGTATTCTTCTTTTCCCTGGGTCCAGTATGCTCAATGGATCTCCTACAGACCTCATGAGTACCACTTATTCTAGATTATAATTTCTCTTTCTGCATGTCATTGTCCTCTAATGAATAAGTAGCTTCTTGAGAGTAGAAAACTTGTATTTTTCATATTTGTTCTCCAAGCACAGTCTAAAATGTCTATATATTTAATAAATAGTTGTTGAAAAATTTCTGGAACCAGGGTGTAAGCAAAAGGACCTATCCAGAGTATGAATGTAACATAAAGAGGAAAAATTAAATACAATGAGAATCTAGATTTAGTCTGACTGGTATTCGTTCATGCAATAAACATTAATGAGTGCCTACTGTATGCCAGGCACTGCACTAAGCTCTGGGTGTAAAATGATAAACAAAGTCCAGATGTAGTCCATGCCCTTATGCCCTTATGTTTAAAGAACAAATTGGAGTTGGCCAGGCAAATGGGAAAACGAAAAAAGTTTTAGGCAGAAACAACAGCATGATCCAATGTCCTGTAATAGGAAGATCATAACTGTAGCAATTAGAGTGAATGAGCTCACTAAAGGTAAGCTGAAATCAACACAAAGTACTCAGAAAAGGCAAGAGTTTGATAGACAACACCTGTTTGTTTGAGTCAGTAAAAGAAGCAAGTTTCCTTAATAATAGTAACCAACATTTATAAAATGTACACTATATGCTAAACACTAGGCTAAGTGTTTTATATCAAACACTTAAGGTAGATGATATTATTTCTACTTTAAGGATAAGGCAACCGAGGCACAGATAGGTTAAGCAATTTTCACCAGGATCACATGGCAGTTAAATTTTAGAGCTGAGATTCAAACCTAGGTAATCTGGTTCCAGACTCTAGGGAGCCTGGATATTTTACTTTTAATAAAATATAAATTTTGCTTGTAATAAAATAAAAGTCAGATATTTTACTGTTTCCTCTGTGTGTGTGTGTGTGTGTGTGTGTGTGTGTGTGTGTAGCAGGTCATATGGTGTATGGCACAGAGTGGAACTTCTTAATATTTTTGGAATGAATGAATAGCTGAATAAAAGCAATAGGTACAAATGTGCTAGAAAACAAAATAGAAAAAAACAATAGTATCTGGGTCTTTTTATGTTCCCGCCACACCAGCTATTCCTAGAACACACCAAACTTGTTCTTGTTCTGCTTCCAAAATATAATCTACTCATGCATTTGTCCCTCACTGTACTGCTAACATTCAGGACCAGAGTTTGGCTTTTTTTTTTTTTTTTTTTTTGGGTGAAGGGTCAGCTGGTAAATATTTTAGGCTTTTTGAGTCACATACAGTCTCTGTCTCCAAGTATTAAATTCTGCTTTCATAGAGTGAAAGAAGTCACAGACAATACCTAAATGAATGAATGTAGGTATGTTCCAAGAAAAGTTTATTTACAAAAACAGGCAAGAGGCAGGATTTGCCCTGTGGACAGTAATTTTTAGACCCTTGCTCTAGGCCAAATTATCACCATCTCTTGCATAGACTACTGTATTAAATGATGTCTGAGAGTCATCATCTTTGACTAACATCTATACCTTGGTTTTATCAGCATCTCAGTGAAGCTTTAATGATCTCTAATCATATTCATAACCTTGAGTTCTTGAAATGTGGTTAAAACTATGTGTTAATTGTGATTTTGAACTTTGATTTATCAAAGATGGTCTTTAAAAGAACTAACTACTAGTGATCTTTGAAAGAGTTAAAAAATAAGGAAGATTTATAATGAAAGTAGTGACTTTAGCCAGAAAATAAATATTCTGGACACAGTGCAATGTTGAATTTGGCTGAAACTTTGGTCTATGACAAGAATTCTGCTATGTACCCTATACAGAAACAAATAAATGCTAAAACTTTGCAGAAATCTTCTAGACCATACAAAATTTTCCTCACCTACTCATGGACAAAAATTTGGTAAAGCTGAAGGGTATATTAATTTGTATCTGGGGTTATGAACATTTCTGACTCTGGGGATATGAACATTTCTGACTCTCAACAGAAATGTGATTCAGCATAAACTTAGTAACCTATATAATTAATTTTGCAGTGAAGAAGTATTAGTTATTACTCACTAGTTAAAAGTTATCAAAACCTACCTGAAACTAACAAGCCAAAGAGAGAAATTTATGGGAAGATAATAAGGTGTTTCACAGAACTCAAGAAGGATTGGAACAATCAAAACTTTTAAAAAGGCAAGGTATAGTTAGGTCTCAAGAATTGTCAAAAACAAGGATTCCAATGACATTGACTCTATCATTCTTTTACCCCTATTCTTCCCTGCACATTTATCTGCGCGCGCTCTCTCTCTCTCTCTCTGTCTCTCTCTCTGTCTCTCTCTCTGTCTCTCTCTCTCTCTCGCCCTCGCTCCCTCCCTTGCTTTCCTCCCCACTCCTCTCAAGCTCTTTTTGTTTCCCAAGTCCATGTAACAGTAGATATGGTTACGGACACCTTCCTAGATTTTCATATTACAGATTCAACCACTGAAGAGAGACACTAAGCCAGATCAGGTCCTCTGAAAAGCAGATGCCGAGATGGAGTTACAAATCTAGAGATCTATCGTGGGTAATGGCTGGCAAGATAAAGAGGAGATTACAGTACAGCTCTATGGAAGTCTCAACCACCCCAACAGAGATTGCTAATTAGAGGAATCCTGCGTTAGACAGAATTCTTGTGCTCAGAGATTGGCTGCAGATGCCTGGGAAGGGAATGACCTTGGATCAAATAATGCAAAAATATCCCAAAAGTGCTCCAGCTGGAGACTGTTAGGTGACTCCACTCCTCATAGTAGGTTTTCCCTTGAAAGATCTGAGAGGCACTTCCTGGTTGCCATAGACCTTTATGGTCCTATCTCCATAAATCTATGAGGGATTTATTGGCCAAGTTTGAGTCTGGTGGCCACCCAAAACCAATCAACTGTAGCTAGGTGAGCAATGTCACATATACCAAAGGATAATTTTCTCAGTTTTCCTGGGGCTGAGGAATTCTCCTGTAATGTGCTAAAACCACAACAGTCCAGGGCAAACTAGGATGGTTAGTTATTTTAGTAGTACCCATGTTGATAGGGGTGGGAAAGTTAAAACCGTCGCATAATATCCTACTATATAAACAATTGTACTTTACTGCATTTATGGAGGAAATTCTATGTATAGTGGTTTTACTGGATTAGGAGAATTTATAAAGGTCTCAGAAGAATCCCCTTGAAGATGACAAAAGTTTCATACTTTATTTCTTGCATGCTGATTCTCTTGTGCATTTATACATTCTTCCTCCATCTAGAATGCGCTTCTCACAGCAACCTCCCTCCCCTCACCCTTGTCCTCACTGTTAGAAATGCTTCTTGCCCATTTCTCTGGTTTCCACATGGAATTATTTATCTAAATTAAGATTAAACCACATAATAAATGTCAAGCACCTATCATAGGACATGGCATAAAATAGGGGCTTGTATCAGCCAAGGTTCTTAGTTGCATGCAACAAAAGCTGAATCTGACTGATTTAAGCGGGAAAAAAAGTTATGTTGGGAATGACACTAGACCAGCACTCCTGCCGTTTGAAAAATCATAAAACTGCATAAAATGTGCAAGGAAACTGTTTAAAGATATTGAGCAATAGTCAGCACATGATTATGATCCCCAGGAAAAGAGAAACTCACAAATTAAGCCCCAAGACTGCCTCAGCTCTTTGCCTGGTGACTATTTTCTGATCCCAGCATCAAGAGCTAGATTCCAAGCTGAGCTTGCAGTCTCATTGAATGAAGGAGGCAAAGATCAGAGCTCAGGGTAGTGGAAGCAGCTGAAATCTATGGAGCAAGGCATTAGAGAAGATAATCTGTGCAGATGTTGGGATGAGTAAACATATGTCTTAGGGTTTCCAGCAAAACTTTAAAAAGAGGAGGAGTTATAGAACTTCTTGGTTTCAAGACTTACTATGAAACTACACTTATCAAAACCGTGTGGTACTAGAGTAAGAAATAACAAATAAGTCAATAAAATAGCTCAGAATCCAGTAATAAACCTACATATATTATGGTCATATATTTCTTTGGTTTTA